ATCCACAGGTCCTAGAGTTCACCTATGACAGAGCTAGAACCACAAATAATGTCTCTTAACTCCTCCTCCCAGGCTCTCCCTTCCACATCCCTGGAAATTGTTCCTTACTGACCAAACTTCCAAATCACTCACACTCAGAGACCTGTGACCTGGACAGTGGTGACCACTCTACAGGAGCAGGGGCAGTTCGGTTTGGCCATGTCCTCCCACCTGTCACAGAGGCATGAGGGTACAAAGGACTCGATAGAGAAGGAAGAAAAGGAAGAAATCAGATTCTTTCAAAGTGACCATCATTAGCAGGGAACCGTTCATAGACAAGAGAGCTGGAATCAGTCTACTTTGTAAGAGAATTTAGAATCTCCTAAAGCTCCAAGGAACCTCCAAAGGCACCCAGTCTAACCAAAGCATTTATCCAATCTGCAAAATCCCTCTAACGCAAAATCTAACCTCTGCCTGAAGACCTCTAAAGATGGCAACTCACTGCTCCACCAGTAGGGACAGCTATCATGGTTGGGAAGTCTTTTACATTGATCTGAAATCTGCCTCCTAGTAATTAACATTCTCTTATTGCTCTCAATTTTTCTGTCTTTGGAGCCAAGTAGAACAAACCTCATCTCTCTTCTATATCAGAGAGTTCCCCAAGTGGCTACTATGTGATGGATTTTTTTATGTCTCCCTTCTTTTTCCATTTTTAGATAATTAGCAATCATTTTGTCAGAATTTTATTTCGTTTTTCAGTCATGTCTGATTCTTCGTGACCCCATTTGGGGCTTTCTTGGCAAAGATACTAGAGTATTTTGCTATTTCCTTCTCCGGCTTATTTTACAGATGAGAAAACTAAGGCAAACAAGTTAAGTGACTTGCCCAGGGCCATACAACTAGGGAGGGTCTAAGGCCAGATTTGAACCCAGGAAGATTCTTCCTGATTCCAGGCCCAGTACTCTATGCACTGCACCACCTAGCTGAATCATCTTCCTTCCCCTAAAACCCCACCTCCCATGCACATGATCTCATTAGCCTGAGCAGTGAATATCACCAACAAATCCTAGAGGATTCCTGTTATCTAGGACTGAATGTCCTACTCCAGAACATTTCCCATTTCCTCAGAGAGCAAGGGGGGGGGCACCCTATTCCTGGTGAAAAGTTTAGGAGAGAATCTTCCAGTCCATCCTCCTTGATTCAGCCTAGCCAGGCTCATCCCACATGAGGTATGCCTGAACTGGGATATTCCTCCATTCAGTTCAACTCAGGTCTAGAGGTTCCTAGATCGAGAACTGGAAGGGAACTTCAAGGCCAGTAAGTCCAGTCCCCATCATTTTACACACGAGGCAACAGAAGCCCAGGGAAGCTAATTAACTTTCCCCCAAGGTCATAAAGGTCATAAATGTCAGAGGCTGGATTTGAACCCAGATTCTCTGACTCCAAATCCCTTTGGGCTCCCTTTCTATTTCAACAAGCATTTATTAGTTAAGCATCTCAAATGTGAAAGACACAAGTGCTCAGGGTATAAAGACAGTCTCTACTCCCCAGAAGCTAAGATTCTAACCGGGAGAAGGGAGAATAAAATACTTACACTGATAAATACAAGATAACTGGAGAAGGCGGAACCCATTACCAATCAGCCAAACCCAAGGAAAGGCTCCCCAAAGAGCAGCGATGCCTGGGCTGAACTGTGAGGAAACCTTAGGGTCTGAAGGGGCAGGGGGGAAGAGGACAAGTTTTCCAGGAATGAAGGCAGCTTATGCAAGGTCAAGTTCAGAGAACAGCAAACAGAACAGTTTGGCTGCGACATCAAGAGTATTAAAGTGAGGAAGAGGAGATAAGAATGAAAAGAGGCTGGAGTCAGACTGTGCATAGCTCCCAAAGCCAAGCTGAGGAGTTTGTGTTTGACAGCTCTAGGGGCCACAGGGGGTAGAAAGCGGGGCTTAGAATCAGGAAGACCTGAGTTCGAATCCCTCCTCAGACACTTACTAGCTGTGAGACTCTGGGCAAGGCACTTAAGCACTCTGTGCCTCACTTTCCTCCTCTGCATAATGGGATCATAATGGTACCTCCCTCCCAGGACTGTTGGGAGGATCAAATGTAATAACAATATTTGTAAGGTGCTTAGCAAAATCTTAAAGCACCATACAAACCATCGTTTTTCAGTCGTGTCTCACTCTTTGTAAGACACGAAATTTTGTAAGACATCTGAAATTTTCTTGGCAGAGATGCTGGAGTGATTTGCTATTTCCTTCTCCAGCTCATTCTACAGATGAGGAAACTGAGGCAAACAGGGTGAGGTGACTTGCTCAGGTTCACACAGCAAGTGTCTGAGGCTGGATTTGAACTCATGAATACGAGTCTTCCTGATTCCAAACCCAGAGCTCTATCCACTGTGTCAAATAGCTGCCCATATACATGTTAGCTATTATTATTCTAGAATCAATCAACAGAGAGCCACTGAAAATTCCATCTTTCTTCCTAATTTAGTTTTCCTGGAGCAGAATAAAGTTTAATTTCATTTAAAAATAGAAAGAGCTATGGCGTGTAAGCTCCTCTAAAAAATACCCAGGCCTTAGGAACAGAGGAGCATCGATGTTGAGCTGGACAGCCCACCCTTAAGTCATCCAGAAACCAGGTGACTTTTTATAGGAAGAGAAATTGATGTTCACTCTACACCACCACAATGACAATGTTGGGGCTCCAGAAATCCTGACTCCTGGTACTCTCCACACATGGCAATGAAATTATAGACTCATTAGAATTGTCAAAGCTAGAAGGGGCCTTAGAACCTAGAACATCAGGGTTGGGAGGGATTTAGAACATAAAAGGTTATGGAAGTACATGGATGTTCAGAGAAGAACATAGAAAGGAACATAGAATGTCAAAGGTAGGAGGGCGCTTATAACATAGAACTTTAGAACTAAGAGGGACCTAGCACATAGGTGGTCAGTTCTGGGAGGGATCTTAGAACAGAGCGTGTCAGAGCTTAAAACACAGAATATCTGAGCTGGATGGGGAATTAGAACATGGAATGCCAAAGAAGGAAAGGACCTAACAATGTAGAATACCAGGCCTTAGAATCCGGAATGTCAAAGCTTGGAAATGCCTTAGAATTTAGAATGTCAGAGCTGGGAGGGCCCTTAGAGCACAGAATGGCAGAGCTGGGAGGTCCCTTAGAACACAGAATGGCAGGGCTGGGAGGACCCTTAGAGCACAGAATGACAGAGCTAGGAGGGCCCTTAGAACACAGAATGGCAGAGCTGGGAGGTCCCTTAGAACACAGAATGGCAGAGCTGGGAGGTCCCTTAGAACACAGAATGGCAGAGCTGGGAGGGCTCTTAGAACACAGAATGGCAGCGCTGGGAGGGCCCTTAGAACACAAAATGGCAGAGCTGGGAGGGATCTCAGAAAAGAAACTTCAGAGCTGGAAGGGACAAGAATATAGAATGTCAGACTTGTATTAACAGATGCAGAGTGAAATGATCCAGACCCAGAGAATAATTTATATAATAGCAACACTATAAAGAACAAAATCTCAGGAAGACTGAAAAATCAATGCAATGACTAACCAGGACCACAGAGGACCAATAACAAGGTGTGCTCCCCACCTCCTGACAGAGATGTTGGAACTGAGATGCAGAAAAAAACATATTTTCAGACATGGCTATTAGTGGAATTCATTTTGCTTAACTATGTATATTTGTCACAGTTTTTTTTTTTTCTTTCAGTTTTTGGAGGGCTGGGGTAGAGAGGAGGAGGAGGGACTACAGAGGGAAAAAGAAAGAAAGAGGTGCAGCTAGGTGATGCAGTGCATACAGCTCCCACCTTGGAGTCAGGAGGACCTGAGTTCAAATCCCACCTCAGACACTTGACACTTACTAGCTGTGTGACCCTGGGCAAGTTGCTTAACCCCTATTGATTGCCTCACCCAAAAGCAAAAAAAAAAGAGAGAGAGAGAGAGAGAGAGGAAGGAAGAAAGGAAATAAGGAAGGAAGGAAGAAAGAAAGAGAGAGAGGGGAAAGAAGGAAGGAGGAAAGGAAGGAAGGAAGGAAGAAAAAGAAAGAAAGGAAGGAAAGAAAGAGAGAGAGGAAGGAAGGAAGGAAGAAAGGAAGGAAGGGGCTATGGAGGTATTTTTAAATGCACAAAAGAAAACAGAAGGAAGGCCAGAAAGAACCATGGACAGGCAGGACATACTGAATTTGTTACATATTTTACAAGAAAAGCAACCTATCCAAATTAGAAATTTGCAATTTCATAGACAATCCTCTTTTTTCTTTCTACGACGCACAGGAAAAGTACTCATCTTATTTGTTGTTTGCTACTTCAAAATAGAAAATAAATTTTAAAAAAAACATAGAATGTCAGAATTGGAAGGAATCTTAGAGATCATTTCATCTGATCCCTTCATCTTCCCAGGCCGAGAGAAGGGGAAGCCAGTCGGTCAAGGTCTCACAGCCAAGTCAGTGGTAGAAAATAAGGATCCCATGAAGGATGAATGTGAAGCACTCTAATGACCACAGTTGGCCATGCCACATCCCTGCACATTATTCTCCCCATTATATGATTAGTGAGGAGCTGGCCCTGAGGAGACCGGGACTGCCCAAGGTCACACAATGAATAATTGATGGTCGCCTCTCTTCCTAGGCAGAACGAATGGCATCAGAATCCAAATCAGAAATTTCCAGCCGGCAGGGACCTTAGGAGTCCTCTATTCCAACACCCAAATCTTACAGACAGGGACCCACAGAGGTTAAATGGTGCGCCCAAGGTCATACCACCAGTAATTAAGAAGGCAGGGGAAATGATAGCATTCTTCTTAAATACAGCTATTGCTTTGAGAAAGAATTCCATCTGAGCATCTCATTTCTCCCTCAGTCACTGAGATCCCCCAGGTTGCTGATGAAGGTTATTTCTCGATCCCCACTCCCTACACCTCCCTCCTCCCCTGTGCCCCAGGTTTCTCTTTTAACATCATTTTAGGACACTCCTAAGCAAAGGAAAAGGAGTTCACTTACTCTGTCTGGGGCTGGGCAGCTGCAGAATCTAGGGAAAACAGAGGGGAGCTAGTTAGGGCACTGTCCTCCTTACAGCGTCCCCCTTCCCCACCCCCCCACAACCTGGCGCTGCTCTCAGGTGTCTCGTCTGTGCTAGCCCCAGTTTGGCTGGGCCCGGAGGAGCTCAGCACATCCCCGCCCCATTTCCCAACCTCCTCCTGGGGAAGGGGAGACTCATGAGGACAGAAATCTCAGCCAGTGTTTCCAGTTTGACGCTCAGTTTTCATGGGTCTTCACGTCCACCCCACCCCCATCACCAGTTCAAGAGGGACTTTCCCCCAGGGCTCAGGGCCCCCAAGGAGAAGGCCAGGAGTTGTGTAAGCCGTGATTACACTTCCCCACATCTTCCAGGGTGCCCCCATTCTCCCCCCAACAGCCCAGCCCCAAACTCCAGATGGTGGCAGCCAACCAGCAGTGCGTCAGGGAGGGCAAGCTTGTCAAGGAGCCTGTTGTCCTTCTGCTTTCAGGAAGTTCCTGTCAATCCAGTCACCAGATCAACTTTCCAAGTGACAGAGTCCAACAGCCTGGGAGCTACTACTGAACACCAGTGAGATCTTCTGTCTCCCCCAACCCGCCCTCTCCGGGTCTCCCCAGGGGGAATGAGCTGCTAAATACAGGATAAGAGATCTCCAACAGGCCCCTTCCTCTGCCTGAGCAAGGGGGAGGCGGACTTCCAGAGAAGCCTCCTTATGTGCAACTGTCTCCGGAACAGAGCCAACTCAGCCAAAACATCCATTTCAAAAGTGCCAAAGTAGCCCCAGATGTTCCAGAAATCCAAGGAATGTGGAATTCCCGGAGCCCAGAATCGGAAGGAATTTTCCCAGTTCAGCTCTTCAAGAGCAGGAGATGAGTTAAAGCATACTAGGACAAGTCTGGATCAGAAAGAAAAGCCAGTTAGGGAGAAAAGGGCCTTTTCTGCACCTTTCCCTTCCTCCCCAGCCCCAGCATAAATGGGCTTCCTGAATTCATCTCACCAGTGATGGGGGCAGCATCAAAGCGGATAAGTGGGGGTTCTCCATCCTTCTCTGGGCCCATCCTGGAGTCTTCTTCCTCTTCATCACTGTCGTCAAACTCAAAAGCCTCTCCAGGATCCTCCTCAGCCTCAGGAGAAGTCCCTGGCATGTCCTGAACTGACTGGTCTCCTGGGGAAGGTAAAGGGGGGAAGGGAGAAGTTAGATGATCAGATGACTGCAAAGACCTAGACCAAGAACGGGGAGGCGGTGGGTTCAAGTAGAGAATGAAAGGAAGAACAGCTGGTTGGGTCAGACCAGAGGTAGAAGGACTTTCAGAGCTGATCAATGGGGTTAGATGAAATTCACTGAACTCAACAGGTGGAAGGACCACCTGTTCATTCCCATCCCTGAAGTAGTAGCATTGCAGGAAGATTAACAGCTGGCATTCTCTGGGGAACAGGAGAAGGTGTGGGTAGCCTGAAGAGTGTCAGGGTAGCATGGCCTAGGTGGAAACTACCCTGCCGGCATTCAAGGCTCTTCATAGGTTGTCCCCCATCACCACCCTTCCACCTGATCTCTTATTACTCCAAATGCCCTCTGCTTCAGCTAAACTGAATGTCTCTCCTCTACATCCGGAAGGACACCTTCTTCTCACCCCTCTCCATGCCTTACCCTAACCTTATTTCCAATAAGTGGAATCCCTTCCTCCTCCCTTATTGCTTCCTGAATCCCTACCCAACCTTTAAAGACCAAATCACATGCCATCTCCTCCAGGGAGCCTTCCCTAATTTCCTCTCAGCTTTGGAATTCGTATTATACTTCGTTTCATACCTCTCTGCTGCCCTGATTATGTATTAGTGAGATTATGACATAAAACTGTTTTTGTCTTATCTCATCTCCATTCTAGCCAAGAAGCTATTTGAGGCCAGAAACACATCTAATCTAAACTTTAAGCCTCCCCAGTGTTTACCAAAAGGCTGTTTCCTTCAATATTTCAAGAATCCTTTTTTTTTTTTTTAAATCAACTTTTTCAACACAACTGCTTCGTAGTACCCAGACCTGGAACTGGAAAGAAACTCAGAGATCACCTAGTCCGACCCTGTAGTTCTAAAATGAGGAAACTGTTGTCAAACGAGGGTGGGCAACTCCCCCAGGTCACACAGGTCATAAGTGGCTGATTGGGGTAGGATTTATTTGAACCCAAATTCTCTGACTCCAAAGCCCCAAAGTTCTTTCTCTTATACAACATTGGCTCTCCATGATAAGTTTGTAATCCTCCCTCTTTTGGATAGGGGAGGGGAGTGGGCGTGTGATTTAATTGATTTATGAATCTCTCAGTGAGGAAATCCCTTCTACCAATTCCTACCTGCAGCCCCGCTGTAACCAGGGATTAGAGAGTTACTTTGGCCCTAAGAGGTTAAGTGACTTGCTCAGGGTCCCAAAGCCAGTCTGTATTAGGAGTGAGACTCAAACCTTCATTCTGTTCACTATGCCATGATGTTTCTATTGCTTAGCATAAACACTCATTGAAACTCATTGTGGGCCCTCCCCCCCCCCAAAGAAAATCATCTTCCTCTTAAGGCTTTTTGAACTCATGTAGACTACACCTCCAAGAATGGCCATTTAGCCCATTCATGGATGGTAAAGTAAAGAGTTTTGGACTTGGAACCATCAATATCTAGGTTCAAATCTCACCCCCAATGACTTACTAGCTGTCTAGCTATGGGCAAGCCTCTTAAAGTCTCTGAGCCTCAGTTTCATTAGATATAAAACCAGGTTCAAAATGCCTCCCTCACAGGGTCAGTAAGAGTTAGTATGAATATAAAGACCCTTGGAAACCTTAAGAGATACATCACTATGACCACCACCACCATGATGGTGATAAAGTCCTCTTGGTATGGGAGGAGGCCTGAGCCTACGCTCTGCTGACATAGCTCACAGAAGCCCCAGGGCACCTCCAAAGAAGTCCTTCATGAATAAATATTGCATGGACCTCAGTATGTGGCCAACGCCATGCAGCAAGCACAAGAGGAATGGTAGGTAGTCTCCTATTTATCTCACATAAATCCAGTTCTACAACTCAACCCTCCAAGTTAGGTTGCTGAAAAGGAGTGGGAATGAGGAGAAGGTGTTTTCATGGTTCAGTGGAAGAAAACACTGACTATAAAGTGAAAAAAACCTCATTTCAAATCCCACCTCTGGTGACCTTATATGACCTTGGTGTATTCAATTTACCAGGCTTCAGTTTCCTCATCTATAAAATGAGACGTCCTATGAAGTCCCTTCCTGGTCTACAGTGATGAGCCTATGATTATTACAGAATATTTTTCAAACCTTCAATGTGACTTTCAAAGCAACTTCTACATCCTCAAAAAGCCCAGAAGGTGGTGTGACTCCCTAAGTCAAATCTCAAGTCTATTTAGAAACATGGGACTTAGTGCTGCAATCATCTAGTTCAGCCTCTTCATTTGAACGACGAAGAAACTGAGGTCCGGGGATAGAAAGTGAGCCAGAATTTCCAGGACATCATCTTAGTCAGCACTATGTTGGCTCAGACTGTGATGGGTGTGTGTTTGTGTGTGTGTGTGTGTTTGTGTGTGTGTGTGTGTGTGTGTGTGTGTACGGCTCAGACTGTGATGGGTGTGTGTTTGTGTGTGTGTGTGTGTGTGTGTGTGTGTGTGTGTGTACGGTAAACCTGTGTCCATAAACACAGCTGACAGAAAACGTGTTCAGAGTTTCAATGAGCCAGCTCAAGGAATCACATCGGATATTGCTGAGCCCCCCACCACCACCCCGACCCACCTTGATTGGCTCTGAGTCAGAAAGGGAAAGTCTAGAGAGAGTGGCCCTGCTTTCTCTGCACTTCATCTTCTCTTCCCAGTTCAAACCCCTGCAGCCTCTTTTTTTCTTCCTCTCTCTTCTGCAACATCTTTCATTCTGAGGTAGCACCATAGCGCATAGAGCAGTGGCCCTGGAGTCAGGAAGACTCATCTTCATGAGTTCAAACCTGGTCTCAGACACCTCCTGGGTGTGTGACCCTCAGCAAGTCACCCAACACTGTTTATCTCAGTTTCCTCATGTGTAAAATGAGCTGGAGAAGGAAATGGCAAACCACTCTAGTATCTTTGCCGAGAAAACCCCGAATAGGGTCACAAAGAGTCAGACATGACTGAAAACGATCTCACCAGAGTCATTGGTGGGAAGGGATTTCAAGGGGTCATTTAGTCTATCCCCCTGCCTCTGGCAAGCCCATAGACAAATTATCCCAGGCAAAGGGAACTGGACATAGTGTCCAAAATGTCAGCCATGGCACTGATAGATCTTCTATCCCATGAGAAAGGAGAAGTTAAGAGTTTTGCCCAAGAAAACAGGGCAATCATATAATATATTGGATTAGTCTATGTGTGTCATATGGGGAAGTGAGCTAGTTCTAATCAGATAAGGCTGAATCAACATAAAGAGTGCCTTGTGGCCAAAGAGGGTTTTGTGTCCACACCTGGAATGTGTCCTGCTTCCCCACCCCCATCTGAGTCCCTACTTAGCAATCCTACTCACTCTTCAAGACCAGGCTCAAATGCCCACAACTACAGATGGGGGGCACAGGGTGCATGATGAGGGCACAACCGCAGGAACAGGGCTGGAGGGTGGTCCTTCCGTCAACCTCTGCTTGAAGAAACAGAATGGAAAAACACACACACACACACACACACACACACACACACATACACGTTTCCAAGACCTATTAAGTCTCAGAGCTGAAACCAATCAACAAGTATTTATTAACTATCTACTATGTGCCAGATAGGCAAAAATGAAACAAAGACTCATTCAGTCCAAAGCCCCACCCTGCCCTCAATATTTTACAGAAGAAGAAACTGAGGCTAGGAGTGGCAAGAGACTTGCCCAATGTCACATGGCTGGGGAGGGAACATTGTGTAGGAACTTAAGATTTGGAGTCAGAAAGGACACCAGAGGCCATCTAGCCCAACTCACTCATTTTACATGTAAGAAACTACCCCCTTTCAAATGTGCACAGTTTGGTTGTTGAGAGGGGAAGAGAATATTGGAATGAAGAAAACAGACTAAACTAAAGTGTGAAGAGACAAAATCTCCCAGATAAAATGTTGAAGAGTAACGCAAGGTATCCTGACCCCCAGTCAAGTCAAGTCAGCACCCTTTTATTAAGTACTTACTATGTGCCAGGCAGGCACAGTGCTGAGATCTAGAGATAAAAAGAAAAGGGGGGAAAAGTTGTCCCTGCCTTCAAGGAGTTTACAATCTAATGGGAGAGATAACATGCAAACAACTTGGATAAATCAGGATTGATCACCAAGGGCAGTCATTAGCATCAAGGGAGATCAGGAAAGGCTTCTTGTAGAAATGGGATTTCAGATAAGATCTGAAAGAAATCAAATAAGCCAGGTGATGGAAAAGACGAGGAAAAGCATTGCAGGCAGAGGAGACAGTCAGTAAAAATGTACTGAGTCAGGAAATAGAGTGTCTTTTTCGAGGAACAAAAATGAAGCCAGTATCAGTAGGTTTTGTGGAGAGTAATGTGTAAGAAGACTGGAAAGTTAGAAAGGGGCTAGGTGATGCAGGACTTTAAAATCCAAAATTAGAAAACCTTTCCCTCAGATTAAGGTGCCGAGAGGACTATTTTAAGGCAGGGCAACGAATGAGGGGGCAGAACATTGCGGTCCATCAATTCTTTGGCATATGACTGTGTTTTAAAGTTTTGAAATCTATACCTGAGAAACTATTCCACAAATAATTGTCAAGAAACTATGGGAAGATAAGTTCATACCTGACAGAGAGATGGATTTTCTTAAGTTTTGCCTCATAAGGTAAAGATGAGTCATTGATCACTGGAGGCTCTGATTTGAGGCAGTGGAAGAAGATCACTAGAGAAAAGGCTTTGAGAAAAAATTACAGGAAGGTATATTAATAAAAAAAAAAAAAAGCCAGCTGAGTGCAGGAGGAGTCACAAGTAATGAGTAGGGAACAAAAGATTTAGAAGGTTTCCATCTCAGACAAAGGATTCTTCAGCTGCTTTGATGGGAGCCTACAGTTTGGAAGAGAGGAATCACTTTTCTGATTGGTTGGAAAAGGGCTGGGTCACAGGTGAGAGCTCTCCATTTGCTCTGCTGACTGAAGGAAAGCTGAATCCTACTACTATGCATAGGGCTATT